CCGTCAGGCAAGTTATCTCGAAGGTCCGATTTTACATCAATCCTAAACAAAAATCAAACGTCCAAACTCAATGCCGTAACAATGGTACTAAATGAGGAGCATTTAATACCATTCGTCCGAATTGTTTACTAAAACACTATTTCAAGGAATAAATAACTAATAATAAATAACCGATATACCACAGATCATTGATGCTTGTGTTAACTGATGATATAAACTCGTAAAGTGCCATACCATGAGAATGCCTACATTCAATATTGGATAAATGACTGAGAAAGGTTCGCGTTGTATCCAGCACAATTTGACAATAGCTACAACAAAACTCATATCGTTTGATGCACATTACATCGGTATTACTTAAGGCATATTAAACATATTCACAATGGTGATTATTGTAAATATTCCCACAATAGATATATAACATTTTTTCATAAAGACATACCTTCTCCACCTACCATTAGTATAGGTTTCCCTTGTAACTACCCCCACCATTAAAGCATATACTTCCAACTATACAAACTAAATTTCACCATATATGTATATAATGGAACTATGTATGTAATAGCATGTGTGATATGGCGTTGCATGTTGCATGTCTAATTCAATTTTCAACCGACCTTAAGAGGGAATTTTTTGCACTTTTCTTTTTTCTTTACTCTTTCCGCATTTCATTTAGAATGCTATTACAAGAGAGAGTCACCCTCCATCCCACCCTATCATAGACATGAGTAATACCGTCTTGAGCGGTATTTAAGTTGCAATTTCATGAATTTTCCTTAGTTCTTCTTAGCCGGTATTATCAAGGACTTTGCTATATATATATATATATATATATATGCAGGTATATTGATTTGCAACAAGTCGTTTTCATATATTTCCTGTTTTTTGTTGCTTGGCTTTGCTTTCATAAATGAACTTACAAAGCGTCGAACGTAATCATGTTTACTAAAGCATTAGAGGCTATGTAATGTTAACATATGAGTCATTTCGTGGGAAGATATCACTGCACAGTAGTACAACTGAAAACCGCTTTCATTCGACATTGTCTGAAAATACGTAGCAATGTTTGGATTTTAATTTTTATGCATTTTAACGAATTTTTAGTTAGAAGATTCATTTAATCCCGCTCGCATGCCGGATGAACTCCAATAATTGTATTTTTCGCCTACGGCAGGGTTTTAAAAAATTTTTGTTTGAGGAAGAATAAGCTCATTATTTTTTCGGCAGATGACTGTATTTACAGATTTCTCGTAAATCAACAAATTTCCGATTTAGGCTCATTGGAAGGGTGACAATTCGAATTAAAAAAAAAATTATGTTGCTGTTTTTTGTTTTGTGCATTCAGTTGTGAGTAACAGGGTGTTACAAATGGGAATGAACAAAGAGAAAATTCAGTACATTTAACAGTTTTTCTTTGACAAGGCGAAAATCGAAGCCAAGCGGCTAAAATTGTGAATGGTGTTTATGGTTCCGATACAGTAAAAGCCAATTATGTGCAACTTTGGTTTCGTAGATTCCGTTCAGAAATTTTTGATGTTAAGGATGCACTTCGCACAACATTATTTAACCCTTTGAGGCCCGATTTGTTTTCCGTAATCATAGAACAATTTTCTGTTCACAGATTTAATGCAACTATCCAAAATTTGGCATTGCTATATCTTTGCATTCTGGAAATACAGTACGTTCTCTCTGAAAAAAAAGCCCAATATCAAGAAAGCCAAATGCAAACATCGACGAAAAAATAATTTTAAATTATTATCTATATTCTGTTTTAAAGGAATCAAAAATAATTCTGATGGCAGAACACGTACATTTCGAATGCGAAGCGATTTAAGTAATTTGGACCGTATACACAAATTAGTACTGTACACATTTTTGACCTCTAAAACATTTTGTTGTCTATGGGCAACATTGGGCCAAAAAGGGTTAAAAAATACACGGTTGGTCCTTAAGAAAATATTCATTAAAAAACCAGACCTTTAGTTGGTTCTTAAGAAAATATTCTTTAAAAAATCCACGCCTATGGCTGGTCCTTAAGAAAATATTCTTTAAAAAATCCAGGCTTATAGTTGGTCCTTAAGAAAATATTCTTTAAACCAGTGAGCGGAGCAGTATAATCGGACGAGGCCGACCATATGATACCTTACACAACTACAACGAAAAGTAAACTTTCTGCGGTTCTATATTCTGAGCCAATATAGAACCGCAAGGTGATAGATCCCCTTCACCTTGTAAAATATGTGATGTTCTGCATATAATAATTGCATCTAGAGCGACTAGAAAATCTGACAATAATTACAGTTTTCGGTTCATTACACCCTCTGAATGAAATCTCAACTTTACCGCAAACTATAGGCGTCGTCTTTCACCATAATCGGAACTTCATGTACAATTTCAAAGCGATCAGCGCGACATTTCTGTTCCCTAATGTGGTAATGGGTTACTAAATAATATATGAATACGTAATATTAATACTATGCCATAGTCACCTTGACTTAATTACGTATAACTCCGACATCAGAGTACATACAACCATATAATTGGTATAAATTTAAAGGTCAACAACTCCTCTTGGATATACGATCAAATATGTCCTTCAGGTATATACGCCCCAGAATAAAAATTTCGTAATTTTTCACACAGAAGTCTGGGTCCATTTGACTCGCTGAATATCGACCGATCTTTATCAAAACAGGCATGCTTATTCTTTTGCCCGACCCCCTCTCCCAGAAAAACCGTCAAAAATTAAGTATTTGGTCCATTTCATCCCCTAAATATTAATATTCATTGACCAGAACCCATCCTATATGCAAAATTTCGTGAAGATTGGTCCATAACTGTAACCTGTATCGTGTTTCAAAATTTTATTGGACAGACGGACGGACGGACACACATGACTAGATCGATTCAGCTAGTCGAGATATGATGATCGGTATACTTAACGGTGGGTCTAGGACCAATATTTCGCGGCGTTACAAACTCTTGGGGCTGCACAAAGCTATAATACCCTGACAACATAGTTGTGTAGGGTATAAAAACCAGGCCTATAGTTGATTCTTACGAAAATATTCTTTAAAAAATCCACGCCTATGGTTGGTTCTTAAGAAAATATTCTTTAAAGAATCCACGCCTATGGTTGGTCTTTAAGAAAATATTTTTTAAAAAAATCAAGGCTTATAGTTGGTCCTTAAGAAAATATTCTTTAAAAAATCGTAAAGTAAAGTAATAGTAAATTGCATCGAGCGGCACACTTTGGCCGCTAAATGAAACATTGAAAAATTCATAGTTATTTGAAGAGGTTGATGCGGTTTATACGAAAACCGCATGCGCATCAATTGATTTCAACGAATACCCGAACTGTATGCATTTTAATGTTGATCATTTTCATATACTGTAACTGCAATATATTTGGTCATTTTTAAAGCCAAAACTCTTAACAGAGGAATATACCGATATTTAACAATCATCTAAAGGAATTTGTATAAGAAAGCGTCGCATATTTTACAAGACTAAAAAATCAAAAATTGAAAAAATTTTTGACAATTTATGAAAAATTTTGAAAAAAAATTGTGCCAATTCAAAAATTATTTTATTTTCAGACATTGTCATGCTTTTATTTGTATTTCGCGACTATTAAACCGTATTTCAAAGTGATTTGACTAGTAGATTTCGAATCAGCACATTTTCCTTAACCTATGTACCAAAAATCATGAATGTGCTCGAAAAAAAAAATTAAAATTTTTTTATGGAATTTTAAAAGAATTTTGTAATTTCACATATATGAGAGCTATATATAAATATGAACCGATTATTTCCAATTTCAATTGGGTTCGCCCTTGGGCAAAAATTAATGAGCTTTGCCAAATTGCATCCAATTCGAATTAAAATTACGACCTGTACTTTGTTTACAATTTAACATGGACAGACGGGCAGACGGACATGCATAAATCGACTTAAAAAGTGATTATATGCATATTCTGAAAAGGAACCCTGTGTCGATCTGGTTTCGTTTGGCATATTACAAACATATACACAAAGACATAATACCCTGTATCACAGTGTGGTGAAGGGTATAAAAGTCCACATCCCTGAAAAAAATAAAAAAAAATAATATAGAGATCTATATGGAAATCCAAAACGAATGTTCTTTAAACAACCGGCGCTTCTTGGATTTCCCAAAAAAATATTGCTATAAACCAAAGTTTTTTGGAGACCCATAAAACATTTAGACTTATTCCTTGTATTAAAAATAAATAAACTAATCGTCATTTTTGTTCACGGAATGTCTCGCATGTTGCATTTCACAATTTTCCTACTTATCCTGTCATAGTTGAAGGTAAAAAGAAATTTTCACTATAGACCGCACGATTATTAGTTAGTTCCTGTTGTTGCTAAAAGTAATTACCCCGCCATTAAAATTGTTGTTAAATTGGCTGTTATTAAATTGTGAAATACACACAAAAGTTTACAAGTGGCGAGTGTTTTTATGTGTGCGTGTGTATGTGTGTAATATTTCCAGCTAGTTGAAATGGAAGAACAAAACTTTTTATAAAAATGTAATTTAATTTTGAATGATTTCGATTAATAAGGAAACAATGTTGCAAGAGAGTAATATACACACATACACGCCGTTTGTCATTTTTCAATAGAATTTAATTGGATATTTGAACAATCACTATTTAATTGATACTAATTATGTGTTTGTATTAAAATTAGTAGGTATGGTTAAGGAGGGGAAGAAGGCAAGAGTGGTTATACATTAACCATTAAGTTTGATAGCTACTATTAAGGTATTTAGATAGCAGGGTGTTGTTTCTGCTGATATAGAAAATATAAATTCTCCTTCAGCCACCAAAAAATATATAGAATGTTAAGCAAATATATTATGTTCACATTTTCGACACATAAATTTTCGACCTTAAATTTTGAAAACATTTGCAAATGTCCATGAAATAAATACTTATCCTAACTTTGTTCTTCTCCATTTTCATACTTTGCAGACAATCTAATGAAACTTGTATCTGTCCAGACGTAAGAACTGACATTATCTACAGCAAACACTCTACAACAAAATAAATAACCTTTAAAAGAGCCCCCCTAAAGCAATTTCAACACAAATACGATCACACTCGAATAAACTTTAACCAAGCGAAATCCTTTTGGCTTGAAAAAAATGTAAATACCGAAAAAATCGAGATAAAGTGGACATCGTCGAAGAGAAAAATGTGGCAATGCAATAAAGACGAAGAAGATGAACGAACTACAACAACACCAAAATTACTAATAATAAATCTTAAAGCTTGATTTAAGATTTAAAAAAACTTTAAACATTTTGTGTACACCTGTCAGTGGTGATACGCTGCTGTTGCTGCTGCCGAAAGACCCAAAGGACAAACAGAAGAAAATATATAAAATTGATTTAACGGAAGTATTGAAGCAGATACAGAAGCAACGCAAAAACACGCACATCGAAAGACACCGGATAAACATACAAGCATACATCTATTGAGATATATGTACCTAAAGAAAGCAGTAGCAGATCAAAGGAAACATGTCGAATGTAAGTATGGTTGGACATGGTTTAGGAAAGAGGTGGAAGGCGGGTTTTCCATTCCCAACAAATGGTGTAAAAATAATTGGATTTCTTACAGAAAAATTAATTAAAAATAACTATTTTGAATCCTTTCTCTCTCTTTGTCTTCCCTCTTTTGTTTTATTACAACAATCTGACAAACAACAACACCTCCTATAGTTACTGTTCATGGATGAATCGAATGGCAATGGTGTGTATGCAACGTCTGCGACAGCAATTTTAATCAACAATACAAATATCAATAATAATAACAACAACAACAACACAAACAACAATAATAGCATTGGGCGAGGTAACAGCAATCACAGCAATAGTAACAACAATACACCACCCGCCACATCGACGTACAACAAGAGCAATAATTACAACAACAATAATAACAACAACAGCATTAACAACAGTGGCAACAACATCCAAAGTTTAATGGCAGCAGCTTCAAATGCAGCCGGTACGGCTGCATGTTCCAGCGGTGGAGTCATCCCTCCCCAGCTGCCAACGTCACTATCAAATGAAGATCTTAGTCAAAGTCTTTCCGAATATACGGATGCCGATGAAAGCATATCAGCGCCAACAGAATTCTTAGCCGAGGTAAGAGAAATTTATAGAGGAATCCAATAAAATAATAAAAATGATGTTGATTAAGATTGGAAATTTAGTGTATGCCTTGAGGAAAATAGGGATATAAAGACTAGAACATATAACTGAAAACTGTCACTTTTGGGGATAATTCTCTAATATTAGACAAAAGTTATGATGCTACAATTTTGAAATTTGGGATTAATGTCAATTTTAATCGGAAGGTATGGGCATGGGTCACGAAAAGTACTTAATATGCTATCATTTATATTCGGCGAACTGGCAGAGCTAGAACTCTTAGATTTGGAAAGAGGACCACTGATGGAGTGTAGGAAAAATGTATTTTCTTGGAAATTCGAACTATAAGTATCCGCAAAGTGCTAAAATGTACTAAATGTGGTACAATTTCGTAGGTAGAAAATTTCGTATAATGAAAACTGTAATGTTTATTCTTTGGCAGATTCCCTTCTTAGTGTAAAATTTCGTGGTGTTCGGGTTGGGTCCATTTCATCCCCTAAATATTAACCGGTCTTTAGCAACAACAATATGATCCACAACTGTGGCCTGTATCGTGTTTACAAGTTATTATGGAAGACGGACGGGCGGACTCACATGTCTAGATCGACTCAGCTAGTCGAGATATGACTGGTTTACTAAAAGGTGGGCCTAGGACCAATATTTCTCAGCGTTACAAACTCTTGGGGCTTCACAAAGCTATAATTCCCTGACAGTGTGTACTTACACATACGAAAGGTACTAAGCAGTACTAAATTTGCTACAATTTGAATTTGGAGGAGCTTTTAAAGGAAATTAACATTATCGTCGGAGAATAGGATAGGAATATGTAGGTGAAATCACAAATTTTGAAATAAGTAATACAAGAGTACAACATCTAGTAAATTGTATAGAAATAGATTTATGTTGCGGACAGAATTGGTTTGTAGTCTTGAGATATAAAATCAGTTTCGGAAATACGTACGTACGTAATTCTGATTTTTTTTTAACTGAAGGAGTTCCACATACATATTAAGATGTGCAATTGATACTAGTTTTAATATGAAATTTACAGGCTATCAACACGTTAACCCTTTGTAGGGAGCGTGTCAGAAGGAGTAGGCCGATGGGTCCAATCTTCAGGCTTGATTTAGGTTTGTTGAAAATATGACGATGTGCGAAGTTTGAATCAATTCAACTGATTATAAAATTTACATATTTTCAAAATTTTCAGTCTGGTTGGAGAGTTAACAGAAGAAATCGATCGATAGACCCCATTTTCAGACATGATGTTTACGAATGTTTGCAATCAAATCGTATACTACGTTCATATTATAAAAATCATTACAAAATTCATTAAAGTTTTGACCCGTCCTGAGAGTTATCGTACGCAATTGGGGTGGCATATTGGATTTAGTTTTATACACTTGGTTCACATTGGGTGGCAAATCCTTTACAAATATTGTAAGCTACAAAGGTCATGCGTCATTTTCGGTACACGTTTTTTAACCTGAGCGTCAGACAGGAATTTACCATCGCATAGACTTCATTTTGGTACATTTAAGATATCTTATTTAACCAGAGCAATTTACAAAGGCATGGCCTTCATTATCGTCTAAGATCGGCAGAAATTTACCATAGCATAGCCTAGAATTCACGATCGATTTTAGGTGTCTTCGGATAAGAATTGTTGTATTATATTATTTCCACATTGGAAATTCTAGAGCATAATAACGGAGAATATTTCTGCTTTTGTGTTGTTTACAAAGTCTGATCAAAACAGACCCGCTAAGGTCAGATAAAAAATTAACCTTTTTTTCTCAGTAAATATTTTGTACCCTCGAAGGTATAGCCAAAAACTCCTGTTTAAATTTTTTACCTCCTCAATCGTGTCAAAACACTTTCTTACATTTTGTGAAGAAGAAATAACCTGGAGCCAAGTCCGCTGAATACGAACAAAAATGATTATGAAAGTGCAAATGCAATATGGGGGGTTTCAATAATTCTGAACATTTTTCGGGCGAATTGCTTAGCGCAAACGGCACATAACATTAAGGAATATTCCTTAATTGTCGTGCGACACCTCCCCATTGTAGTCGAAGAAAACTATGAATAATATTTGACCGAGCTTGATTTGTTTTTTTTCTGTATTGGATTTTTTGGACCATTCTATTATCGGTTGACTAAAACCGGTATAAAAATCGGGATAATTATCATAAAATCCGAATTTGTCTCCCGCAAATAAGTTTTATTAACGTGTTAAGCATAATGAGATATAGTTATGAAAAACATTTCAGATATATATTCATAAAGCAAAATGTATTATTGTTTATAGATTGACGATTTTCTGAGCAAAGATCGGGTAGAAGTTGAAAAGGACACTGAAAACATGCCAATATCAAATTCTTGTATATTTAACCTACATCCAAAATCGTATGAGAGAAGTTTTTTAGAACATATGGAGGTAGAAAAATCTCATCTTGAGGTATTTAGTTTACGATCAAAAATAATAAGGACGAAAAAGAGGCAAAATGGCTCGATAGAAGGAGTATATGTTTTACAAAAATATTCCGCATTTGATTTTGCTGAAGCCACGTGATGTCAAGAAGTTAATGAAGTATAGAGTTACGAGCAATAGAAATCATCACGACATTCTTCATATACTCATCCCCATAAGTAATTTCCCACCCCGCAGTTCATTGCCCCGACTTTGTGTCAGTGATATTTATGTTCGATATTCAACAATATAACACCTCAACAAATTTACATTGTTATTTATACACTTATGTATTGGTATAGGATCTGACACAATCCATACCTCGTAAAATTATATCTCTTCTTACGTGTTTTACAATCATATGTGTGGTAACGTTGATGTAAACTCTCCCGGTAGCGTCTCTTCATATACCCCTAGAAACAAATTTTTGTTTAATAACCTCTCATGGAAAACAAAAAAAAAAATAAGATGAAAAGTTTTGCGGTAAACCAATGGAAAGCATTTCGTTCGCATGTAAACAATTCTGCAAACAAAAATGAAAAAATCATATTTCCACATCCGTTTGTTTTACTGAGTGCAATCATTGAGTAAAAAATAAATTTCCTGTGGGACTTACTTCAATTTATGTCGGAAAATGGCCACTTGTAAAAAATGGTCAATGATGGTATTATGGCTAAAAACTTTAAACGAAGGAAATATTGAAAAAAAGGTAAAATTTAAGTTTTAAAGGGCCCCTAACACTATATCAAAGAAAGAAAATCAAAATAGTTTTGATTTTGAAAGTGAAACCCTATCAATCTGGTGAATAATATTCATTTTGAAAGTTGTCTGTAATTAATTATGTGTACAAAAATAATAGAATTGTAACGGAATAAAAAAACAACTGAATTTACGACTCAAAATTAAATTTTTGGGACAAAAATCGATTTTTTGGAATAATGATTGAAGAGTTTGCCATACACTAGTCAATCCCACATATACACAAAGGTGTTCATCGACATGACGGCATGATGTATAGTGTGTGTGGCCCTTAAAAGAATGTGGATTGAATTTGTGTTGAAAAGATCAATAAAATATTCAAAAGTATTATGAAAGAAAAAATAAATCGATTCTAATTCGATTGTTTTTGTATATATCGGATCTCAAAAATCTGCACTGTAATTTAGTTGAAATCTTGAAAGTATCTACATATTTGGGTGGGTGAATTTATGGGTGAACTTGAGCATACTTTGGTAATATGCTACAAATATTATATGATTTTCTACTTACAACCTATATTTTAACATATCTGAATATAAGAACTACAAATTTTACCAAATTAATTTTCCCTAATTTCAGTTTCTGTCATCAGTCATGCTCAAGGATTACAAAAAAGCTTTAAAATATTGCAAACTGAGTAAGTACCACTTGGTGTACCATTCACCAAAACAACAAAAACTGTCAAAACAAAATAAAAAAACACAAATGTCATTATTTATATTCAAGACAAATAGAAATATGAGAAACTTTCTAATTAAATCATATTTTATCCTTTTTTATTATTTTTCTCAACTAAACAAAATAACTATTTTTTCTTCTTCTGTTGTTGTTGCTGCTATCGTTGCTTTTTCTTTTTGCCTTGTCGTTACAGTTTTGCAGTATGAACCACACAATTCGACAGCAAAGGAATTCTATCCATTGATATTGGACAAGTTACGTGGTATGTATAAATGTGTGTGATTTCTGTAGGTGATGTATTGTAGAGAAGGAAAAGCATCGGGTTATTAAATTAGGATGTTAAAATGCAACGATTTAGAATTTTTTAATAACAGAAAAATGCATATGGTGTCTCAATACAGTAAGGACGGGCCAACTATATGACACCCTACATCAGTTTGGATATACTATGTATATAATATATATTTTAAAAATCTTATAGTGATAGATAAACTCGATCAAGAATATAGATTATAGCTAAACTTAACACACGTTCAGACTTAAGTCTGGCATTTAGTACACAATATGCATAAAATCGGTCGAAAGAATATATGGGAGCTATATCTAAAACTGTTTTTAGAAGAAATTAGAAATACAGGCGTAAATGTTGCTAGCTCTATCGTGATATATGCTAGTTACCTCAAGTATACAAAGTATTGTAGAGAAGGAAAAGCATCGGGTTATTAAATTAGGATGTTAAAATGCAACGATTTAGAATTTTTTAATAACAGAAAAATGCATATGGTGTCTCAATACAGTAAGGACAGGCCAACTATATGACACCCTACATCAGTTTGGATATACTATGTATATAATATATATTTTAAAAATCTTATAGTGATAGATAAACTCGATCAAGAATATAGATTATAGCTAAACTTAACACACGTTCAGACTTAAGTCTGGCATTTAGTACACAATATGCATAAAATCGGTCGAAAAAATATATGGGAGCTATATCTAAAACTGAACCGATTTCATTGTAGACTTAAATCGCTACTATATGAAAGAGGTCCGAAGATTTTACACGATGATTTCCAAGCGGAGAGAATACAATAAAATGATAAGAACAGCAGAATCGCAACTGGAAATTTTTCTGCGAACTGATTCATATCATAAATAAGGTTTCAAACAATGAAAGACGATGGAGGCAACATGAAAAAGGCAATTGAAGAAACAATATGGCTTCTCATGAAACATCACTTCCCACCGAACATATCGGTAACTGATGATAAAATAAGAGATGCAAAAACAGAAGAACATAAAATTGATGCATCAATGGTACGAGATGCAATAGAGAACTTAGCACCATTTAAAGCAGCAGGGTCAGACGTCTGCCCTGTTTCATTACAAAAAATGCAGACTATCACCATATTATAGATTGGCATGATGCAAGAGTAGGCTATATACCCAAGCCCGTCCTACTACGTTACAGCCTAAAATCTAACTTTCTGTGGTTCTATATTCTGAGATTGGCAATATTTCGAGATATTTTCACACTTTTAACTGGCTAGAGGTCAACAAATATTACTAATAATCAGTACAGACCCTCTAATTACTTGTCCAGATTCCCTTCACCGTGGGTTGCGTAGTGATGTTCGGCTTTCGACTCGAAAAGTACAAATAATTAAGTTTTCGGTCCACTTCATCCGAAAAAATATTATCTGATCATCACTTAACATTTTAGACGTTGTCCTTGACCATAACTGGAACCTCTGGAACATTTCAAAGCGATCAGCGCTATATTTCCGCCCACCAGTGTGATAATAGGTTACTAAATAATATATGAATACGTAAGCACCTGTAAATATTTAAGTGTAACTCCCGCATCCGAGTACCTACGACAATATAATTGGTATCAATTCAAAGGTCAACCACTCTTCTTGGATTTACTATCAACTTCTCGGGTCTATGTCCTTCTGGAGTAAATATATACGCCATAGAATACAAATTTTGTAATTTTTCACACAAAAGTCAGGGTCCATTTGACCCGCTAAATATTGACCGATCTTTATCAAAACATGTATGCTTATTCTTTTGTCCGATAATTGCGGCCTCTGGAGCGACCAGAAAAACCGACAAAAATTAAGTATTTGGTCCATTTCATCCCCTAAATATTAACCGATCTTTACCAAAAACAATAGGGATCTTCATTGGCCAAAACCCATCCTACATGCAAAATTTCGTGAAGATTGGTCCATAACTGTGGCCTGTATCGTGTTTACAAATTATAATGGACAGAAGGACGGACTGACACACATGTCTAGATCGACTCAGATAGTCGAGATATGATGACCAATATTTCGCGGCGTTACAAACTCTTGGGGCTGCCCAAAGCTATAATACCCTGACAACATAGTTGTGTAGGGTATAAATAGTCGACACTAAGAGCAACATACGCAACGATACGCTAAAATGTAAACGACGTGAGTGTGTAATGGGGAGATTAGGGAAAACCGCTTTACTCCATACTATGATGGAGGGTATAAAAAACGCATGTTATGATGGGGCCTTGAACATACAGACAAAGACGCGAGAAAAAGATCGGATGGATCGTTTGACGGAATGAGACAGACTCATTTCTTAAACGGATGGTGACTGGAAATGAGAAATGGATCACATACGATAACCCTGTCAAAGAGCGGAGAAGCACCCACAAACGGTGGTCAAACCAGGGCTAACGGCCAAGCATGGTTCTGCTATGCATTTGGTGGGACTGAAAGGGGATTATTTATTATGAGTTGTTTCCATATGGCCAAACGCTAAATTTTGATATCTACTGTCAACAACTGGACCGCTTGAAGATAGTAATTGACCAGAAACGTCCAGAATTGGCCAACAGGAGATCTGTCGTGTTCCACCAGGACAACGCTAGGTCACACACATCTACAGTGACTCGCCAGATACATCTGGAGCTTGGTTGGGAAATATTAATGCATCCGCATACAGTCCGAAAAAATTTGATATCTAAGGAGGATTGTGAAAATCGACTACTAGAGTTTTTTTTTGCAAATAGAGAGCAGGACTTCTATGAGACAGGCATTATGAAGTTACTTTTAAAATGGCAACAAATCATACAACAAAACTGTGCATATTTGGTGCAAATCGGACATTCCGATGCATGTTAAATAAAGTCCTATAGTTCATTTAAAAATAATGGATTTATTTTTCCCCAATCCAATATTTTTCCAGAAGTAATTAATTTATATGTCTGTATGGCCCTGGCTCTTTTATACCCATATTACTGCCGCTTCGGTGGGAAAATTCGGATAAACCTTCAAAATGTCCCAAAAGAGGCGGGAACTTTTAAGTGGGGACTATGTCTGAACATAGACCCATATAGAAAAATGTTCGTAAAAATTTGTTTCGCCCACCAAGAACTGGAATGCCAAGTTCGGTGATAAAATATGAAATCCAAACTAAAACATAGACTGACATTGATAATTTTTAGTAGAAAGATTTGGCATTCAAAATCCGTCATATGAGGCGTGTACCGAAAGGTATTAATAGTTTTTTAAATATATAAGCCAGCTAAACAAAAAAGTTAACCAATATTGACTATTGTTGGTAATAAGATTTGCTACACAATTAGATCCCAAAATACTGTTAAAAAAAGGTCCAAAATAGCGATTGGGAAGTCCCGTTATATGGGAGTAAACCGATATATTACAAATATCTTAGGGGTAGTAGCAATGAGTGTGCAACTTTCGAAGCTCTACCTTAACCCTGTAGCCGCAAGACCACCTTAAGTTGGCGTGCAGGAAATACGTTCCAATGCAGAATTATTAATTTTTAGAAAGTATGTTCTAATGACAAATGTCGGTTAATATATGATGTATACTTTTTCCAGAGGAAACAGGAAGTGGAAATTTGCCGATTGATTAATATTTATTAGATCCAAAATCAGTTTTTAGAAGAAGTTAGAAATACAGGCGTAAATGTTGCTAGATCTATCGTGATATATGCTAGTTACCTCAAGTATACAAAGTTTCCTTAAGTTGGTAAATAAATACTATGATTTAATAACCCTCCAACAAAAATAACAATCAAAGAGGATACCCTAATGAATAGAATGCTTCCCTTTAAAATTGTTTTGATTTTGTTTTTCTTTCTCTTTTCCGTTAAAATCAACACAATAACGACAACCACAACATCAAAAAGGTGCCACCTCGAGTGACAGTGACGAAAACTATAATAAATCATCATCCTCACCGGAATTAATACTGGAACCCCCCTCATCAGATCCATCGGCTGGAGAAAGTGACGAACAGGAAGCATTAGCTGGTGAGGAAAAGCTACATCGTCAGCATATACGACGACCGCATTTACCCGACGACTTACGTTTGGCTGAGGGCATTTTAGATCCCAATTCAAATGTGAGCAGCAACAGCAATAGCATTGAAGACGACATTGATGTTGGTGATGAGGAAGAAGAAGAAGAGGAGGAGGAGGGTGCGGGTGGTGTTCTTAGCAGTGGCTCAGTAGGTGTTAGTCTTAGCGATTCCGTAGATGGTGACGATGATGATGATGACGACGACGGCGATTGTGAAGATGCCGATGATGATGATGATCCGGAGGACGATGATGATGACGATATTATGAGCAGCAGTGGTGATGATTTACCCGTCGATGAACATCAGGTCATTGTCGGCGATGTACTAGACATAGAAAACTCAGGTAATGCATGTGGTGGTGCTGAAGGTGTCGATGGTGTAGCTTTAAATGGTTCAAATTCATCACGAAATTCTTCGAGTGGTGGTAAAATTAGTAGCCGAAGTGACAATACAACACACTCATATTCGAGTCTATTGTTGGAGGAGGAAGATGATATAGTGCCTGCAAATCTACACTTTCCCAAGGATTTTAATACACCTGATTTGGATGTTAGCAATGGTAAGTGAATAATAATCCCTTTTGGCAATTTGTTTGGTTTATTGGTATGTATTACGAAGGATTTTAGATTGAGATCCAAAGGACTTTACATATTTGAAGGTAGATAATTGATTTGGAAGCAAGAAAAATAAAATAAAATTGACAAGATTATTCATGATATGATATACGCACACATATATTAAGGAATTTATGGCGTTAAATTAAAATTGTTAACTTAAATGGAAATACAATAACAACATGTTAAATTGGTTCCTTCTCTAAATTTTGCTCGTTTATTCCTTTTAAAGAAGGATGAAAACATACGAATATCGATTGCATGTCATTGAGTGCTCTATCATTCATTGGGTGCTCTATCAGTGAATTTTTTTGTAAAATATTTGGAAGACAAAAAACATCATTAGGACAATATAAATACCTATAAATATCCTGGGTTTTTATTTGATGGCTGTAGTCATGAATAACAATAACCAACTGGCTTCAGACCATTCAGAAGCTGGATGGACCAGACCAACGCCCTACGACGAATAAAACAATATATATGGAATGGAGCTTCCTGTATCTACTGTTCATTGATTTCAAGAAAACTTTCGGTACCATCAGACGAACAGCAGTATGGGAAGCATTAAACAAGATGGGAGTTTCACACCAACGCTGTTCAAAAATGTCGAGAAGCTCTCATATATCCTGGAAAACAAAGCTTCAAATATTCGAAGCATGTATAAAGTCGACTCTGCAATACGGCAGTGAAACCTTACAAATGCCTCAGGAGCATATGCAGAATATTCTGGCACAACACCATAGAGCTGAGTAAAGCTGTGGAACCTAACAAATCAGGAACCCGTACAAAAACAGATAAAACGTAGGATATTGAGATGAATTGGCCAAATCTTGAGAAAAAAAATGGCCATAGCATTAACAGAATGGCGTTAGAATGGAATCCACAAGGATCAATAAATCGAGGTCGACCAACAATTCAACCAATCTTACATGGAAAGATGCAAAAACAACTGCAACTACCCGAGTGTGATGGAGTAGGATAGCCAAAGACCGGCCGGTAATAAATTTGTGGTATGAAGATTTGACATCCACTGAAATCTACAAATATTATTGAAAATCGGGTCAGAAATTCCAAAAAATATAGAAAATTGTAATTTGTGGTAGGGGGATTTTAAAATATCAAATTATAGACATTACGGTTGCCGATTTGATTGAAAAACGTTCTCAAAATTCTGCAAAATACTGAACTTCGGGAGATTTCTTAATATGGGGCTATCCTCAAAAGAGGATCAGTATTGATAATTATTTTAAGTAGCTACCCACTGAGAGCTCAAAATACTAAATTACATACAATTCAGTTGGAAAAATTAAGACCACTGGTATGCACCGATATATCGCCATATCGTTATACATTTCGAGGTGTTAAAAGTATGCGATTGAACATCTGCCAAACAAAGTTGTTAAACCACTTTTTCAGTTCGCTTTATTATCTCACAACGCGTAATATAATTCAAACCTACTAACTTAAATGCGCCTAAGTCTTAAAATAAAGTGTCAGGCAGCACGTAGTGTCCTATGGACAGAATTTTTGGCTCAAAGTGGTCCAACGCGGAAAACTAAGCGACTTAATTGTAGATGTCGTCGTTGACGACTGGAACAGTATTAACACTCCGGCTTTTATCACACACGGTTCTAAGATGGAAGAAGGTACTGCGACTAGCGTCTACTGTGAACGACTAGGTCTTGAGTACACTTAAAGGTTAGAAGTCGTACTTGAGTGTAGAACAGCTTTGGAAACACTAACAGATACCGGCTAGCTGGGTACCAGGACACTACGATTTTATGGAGAATGGATAGGCAGGATCGTAATGTACATATCTAGCAATCGCTAACTCAATCAAAATAACCATTTGTCGCCTTTTCCGTCAAGATACATTTGGTCACCTCTGTCACTGTTGAACCTGAGCTGAAATAAGAGTAATGACGGGAGTGCATGTTAACTTTCCACCATGTCTAACCTTCTATTCAGCTATGGAACTTGCTTTAATCAACAATCTCATCTGAAATATGAAGTGGCTGGAACAGCACATATTGATCATCTTAACCGTTTGTCCAATTATTTTTCCAACCATGATCACCTTTGGATGACCACAATGGAACGGAAGGTCTCCGAGTGACACAGTAACAGTAAGTGACTACATATCCCCAAACTTAACCTACAACAAAAATGGTGTTTCCCCACAATTGCCAAAATTTGAAGAGATTATAACGCTTGCAAAATATTGTAAAGTCGGTGCGTCATCATTTCACTCTTTCTACTGTTGCCGAAGACCCGAATGTGTCGATTACTCATCGTTCCCAAAAAAAACTGTTTTGATCTACACTTAAATTCATGCTAAGGAAGAAAATCCCCAAGTAATTGAAGAGAAGCCATTACATCCAGAAAAAACACTGTTTGGTGCGCTTTTTGATTTGAAGGTGTGATTGGACCTTACTTAATCGAAAACGACGATGGAACGACTGTCACCGATATTGTTTCGCCTGCTTTTGAAGAATATGCGATTTCAACAAGACGGTGCTACTTGCCACACAACTCGAGCAAATATGATTTTATTGCAAAATACATTTCCTGGCCGTGTAATTCTCGCAGTGGAAACATCTTCTGTCCACCAAGAACATGCGATTTTATATCTTTCGATTATTTTATAGGGCTTCGCAAAAGACCGTGTTTATGTACAAATATAGGCACAAAACCGGCAAAAAAAAGGTTTTGAAGAGCTGCCGCCCAACGAAAACTCAGTAGAGAAATTAGGTTGGAATTACGATAACCGTAATATGGGGACTATCCTGAAATGAGACTTTTTGATAGGAAGTTATTCTACCCACTGAGAAGTCAAATAATCAAATTACACCCAATTAGGTTGGAATACATGTCCAAAACCCCTAAAATTCCGAATTTTGGAAGTACCTTTATGTGGTGCTATACCAAAACATGAACCGATATATCTCAATATCATATATGTACAAATGTTTAAAGGTCTATTTTAAATATTGTTAGATTTGTCATGACTTCAACTGACAGAACTTGCTAAATCGTCATACAATGAATGATATATATGTACGTAATGGGGTTTCCGGGGAATATTTCGAGGTGTTGACAAATGACAAATTCAATTTTGTAACCTATACAACATACACATTTGAAATCGGGGGGACTAATTGCTCTGATGCCTACCTTTACATGTCTTAAAATTTCAATATATTAGTAGATTAGCCTGCAAAGAGCTGAACTTCGCACTTGAGTTTTAAGGAGAATATAGAAAACATTGAGTGATCCTTTCCTATCTGGACTCCGATGCTTTAAAGCATCGACACAACTTTATAAGATTTATTTTGCAACTTCAATTATATTTTATTTTTTTAAATTTCTCCATTACTCAATGAACAATTTATAACGAAATTTCTTTATCTTACAGGTAATAAAATTCCATCAACATCCTGCAGTGATTCGGAATCACCAACAGAACCGCTGACGCAAAGATTAGCAGCCATTTTACGCTCAAAGTGTGGTGTTTCAAACACCAATGGTTAGAAGGAAAAATATTTTAAATACCCCTGAATCGATATTCAAATCGACATACATATATTATAAATATATTAAGATTAAATGTAAAACCAAAAATATATATATTAAATATACACAACAAATGTCTATAATCGAAAAACTATATATACTTGTACACACAAACACATACACAATATTACAAATAACATTTTTGGCCAACTTATAATACTTTTTTAATTATACTTTATCTTCTATCTTCCAATTACAAAAATGTAATGAAAAAAATATTACTATATTCTATTACAAAATAGAATATTTGTAATATTTTTTTATTTTATTACCGAACTACCCGAATTTTTGCACACCATACACATAATTATATAAATGTTTATGTGTATTGATAAAAATATATATATATATATATATATATAATCATCAAATAAAAAAAATTTATTATATACTTAATTAAATAATTCAAATTTTTGTCTGCTTATATATTTTTTAAAGAAATATTTGATCATAATTATATCTTATCTTATATTACAAATGTATACTTATAAACTTATAGTCCAACTACTATCCAATGTACTCTACTTACTACTGGTCGTCAAAACAACACTTACATAAGGTAAAATTCTAATAGTATTTAGTTGATGTGTCTTATAATTGTTAAAACAAGCTAATTCTTAAAGATATAACCTTTCAAAATCGTATATTTTTTGAAATTGTATTTAGAAATGTATTTATTGTAAAGAATGATATTCCAATTTAAGACTAGCCTGTTGACCAGTTTTATTATTACTATGATTTAGAGCTTATACACAACGGCCTTCATATAAACGGGAGCCGATAAAAATAGTTTAAGTAATGAATATATTTTTAGATATTAGGTTTTGTCGTCTCTATTTATATATTCTATTTAGTTTTATTAGTGATGACAATGGATTTTCTTCATTCATTGATTTGACTGAAAATTTCGACAGATTGAATTTTAACAGATTATTTATTTGGTCCAAAGTAATACCGAAAAATGCATATGTTGGGACTTTTTAATTGTGTAATTATTGTATTGAAAAGATAAGTCCCATGTTGGTGTTAGACCACGTCGAATCGTTGAAATGTGGTTAATAAAACTGTCAGACAAAATCGAGTCCTGGGGGTGGTAATTTTATATTGAGGATGAAGGACCTTGATGAGTATATGAAAACCCCAGAAGCAAACGCCACAGGTCAAAGTTCGAAGATATGGTGTGATATTTTTTTGCAAACCTATTATACTTGAACATTTTGTAAAAAAGTTTGTCTTTCTAACATGATTCGTTGTATGTCCCTTTCTACTTATTTATTGGGTCATCCGAATTGGATGTAATTGGATATTTTCAATTCCATAAATAGAGGCACATCCAAATTTTGGTATTTTCGGGAGTTTGGGCATGTATTTCAATTGATTTGGCAGTAGTTCCGTATTTTGGGAATTATGGGCGCGGAATTAACTGTTATTGATTGTCAAATCTTCCTAGCACCTCAAAATCTTTATCTGTGAATTTTGAACTCCTCTTGAAGAGAACCAAAAATATCTTTGTGTACTTGGCAAAATTTCTTGTAGAGAATTGCGATTTTAGGATGTTCATAAGGTAAGGTATCTTAAACATGACCCATCATAGTTAACTTAGCTCCGACTAATACGAATGTCAACTAGTCCAAAGGGGGGCAAACGCCTCCATATTGTTAGATTACCGGGGAAGTTTTGGAATTAAAATTGATATAATTTAAGTACGACCAACGGCTAAGTTACTGATGCAAAGAGGTAAAGGTGTACAGTTGCACATGCACAAATTTCATTAGTATGGAAGAGACAATCTGATTTTGGACTTCATCATTTCATGTTTATACATGATATTTTAAAGTCAGTTTTTCTAGAGTCAGTCAGTAGAGCTTAATGGTGGAAGTTTTGCAATGAAAAGCCAGGAAGTAAGCCGTTGGTTAAGCGGCTCATAAGGCATGTCGGGCTATGTGGCTTTACAAAGGTCGTATGTTGATAACATGTATTTATATCGCAGTTAATGCAAAGTGTATCTGCGAATTAAATTCAAATTTATATAAGTTCGACTTTGGCTTCATTCCAGAAATAGACATTTTCAGTGTAGAATTTTTCATTGGTATATATTTGCTTCTTGGCAGAATCAGTACATCGATAAGCAAGATTCGATATTGCAACCTCACTGATCCCAGATATAGAAAAGTGAAATAAAAGTAATGTTCAGCCCAGGCGAAGTTTTTATACCCTCTACCATGAGGTGGACTTTCCAAATCCCTAAAATCGTTAACAACTTTCATATGGTGGCTATTCCATGATAAATTGCAGACATAATCTCAAGATGGAAGATTATGCTAAGACCTTGAACATTCTGGAAATTAGACTCGACCTTTATACGAAGGCTAAGTAGAAACCTGGTACTTCGCGATGGTAAAATAAAGTCACTTCGCTTGGAAAATGCTTATAGATAATACCTGAAATATCGTCCAAAGAAGATTTATTTAAAGGCAATTTAATTTTAAAAACGAACCAAACTGGGCCGACAATAAAATACCCTACAAAACTACCACAGAACTCGAATTTTCTGCGGTCTCTTTACAGTGGGTTTTGTTGTGACGTTCAGTTTATAATTGTCGCCTATAGATCGACTCGAAAAAAACTAAGTTTCCGGTCCACTTCATCCCAAAATTATTATCTGATCATCACCGAATATTATAGGCGTTGTCCTTGACCATTACTGGAACCTCGTCGAATTTTTCAAAACGATCAGCGATATATTTCCGCCCTCTAATGTAGTAATGGGTTATTAAATAATATCTGAATACTTAAGTGTAACTCCCACATCCGAGTATATTGGCATCAATTTAATTGGTATCAACCACTCCTTTTCCATATACTATAAACTTCTCGGGTCTATGTCCTTCAGGTGTAAATATATACGCAATAGAATACAAATTTTGTAATTTTTCACACAAAAGTCAGGGTCAATTTGACCTGCTTAATAATGACCAATATGTATCAAATAGGCATGCTTATTTTTTGGCCCAATCCGCTTCTCTATGTAAAAAATTGAGTATTTGGTCCATTTCATTAACGGTTTTTTACAAAAACTATAGGGGTTTATTGGCCAGAACCAATTCTACATGCAAAAATTCGTAAAGATTCGTGAATACATGTCTACATCGACTCAGCTAGTCGAGGTATGACGATCGGTATACTTAAAGGTGGGGTTTAGACCAATATTTCGCGGCGTTATAAAATCTTGGGGCTGCACAAAGGTATAAAACCCTGAAAACATAGTTGGCATAGAAATATAAACTCAAAATTGCTTTTTAAATAAAAAATAATCTATTTAAAACTAAATTGATCTAATTTTTGCTTGGTCAAAACTATAGCAACTTTTTAATTGTTTTCTTATAAGTAAATTTTGCTATTAATCTAATTTTATCGTAAATTTTATTAATTATCGACAGCATAACCATCATTTTTGATCACATTAAATCTATAAGAAGCTTAATTTGATCCTTGGATATACTATTCCGCGCATCCTGAACCTTTGGGATGAGGTTATGTCTGTTTGTGAATCTCTTTTGATTTTGATATATATGCTACTACAAATATTTATCTATAGGTTAAAGATCTGATAAATATGTTGGCCATTATAAAACCCTGATTTTTGCCTCCCGCAACCAGTCTTTGACATTTTTCGGTGCATGTTTGAGGTTATGTGAAACTGAAACATCCAAACAAGTAGTATATACTTCATAAATCTGGTAAATAAATTGAAGGTCCTCCTTCATGCTTCAGAGTACCCTTGCATTACTGAGGCCTCAGTCTTTAATTTTGTTCGTATTGGAGCCTTAAATATTAAACATTAATTCATCCAAGAATATATTTCTCCATTGAGCCGGATTTCAATTGATATTGGCTTTGTCGAAATCCAATCTGTCTTTTCGATACTTTTCAGGAAATAAATGGCTTATATCTAACGATAACCCTCTCACCAATTCCGTTGAACTCCTGAATTCATGTTTTTTACTTCTCTGGAAAATTTTTGACGAACAGATGTTCTTTGGCAGATGACGAACAGATGTTCTTTTGTACGAACAGATGTTCTTTGGCAGCTTTCTCCGTGATGAACTGTCACTACTGATTTAGTTCCATAAAACCGACTTATAATTCTTAAAGGTTATTTATCGGTGTGATTTATATGTTTACTATAATGGACATGACCTAATAAATGGTATTAAACGATTTGCAGCAATTACTTAGGTAGTTAGTTGTCATTGTTATTTTTCTTATAACTCCCTTTTGTCCATAGACAAGAAATTACAAACATAAAGACCTCATTCTCGAACAGACTCATTCTAATTGTACAGTTTTACAGTGAATGGATTTCTTGGTCGTTTTATTCTATATATGCAATTCCATTGAATAATTATTTTATAAAAAAATACCAATTGATTTTAGTTTACAAAATTTCAAATACAAACTGATTTTTGGGCGAAACACCATCAGTCGTATTTCTGAAATGTATTTAAATTCTTGAGCTGTAGATATGAAAATGAAGATTGCCAAAATCCATTGCCAATAAATAAAATATTTAAAATAAATTATTTGCAGTATAACAAAATATATATTTATGCATATTTTAGCCAAAGACTACATATATATGTATTAAAACACAGAAACACAAAAGTATATATCACTCATGTAAAGCAACTTTTTAACTATTAGAAAAACATATCGTACAAACCTACAAAAAATATGAAGAAAATATTAACACAAAACTCAATGTTAAAAGAAGAAATCTAAACACTTTTTGTACAGTTTTATTTGTGCAAAATTAAATATTGGCAAATATTTTTTGAAAACCTTACATTGTCCCATAAATATTTTTTGTTCAAAAAAATCCAGGACTATAAAAAGGTAGAATTTAATTAAGAAAAAAATGAATACTTTTTCCAAGAAATTTCTTCCCTCCCACAGAA